GACGCTCTACGCCTGCCGGAGACGCTCTACGCCTGCCGGAGACGCTCTACGCTTACCGGAGACGCTCTACGCCTGCCGGAGACGTTCTACGCCTGCCGGAGACGCTCTACGGCTGCCGGAGACGCTCTACGGCTGCCGGAGACGCTCTACGCCTGCCGGAGACGCTCTACACCTGCCGGGAACGCTCTACGCCTGCCGGAGACGCTCTACGGCTGCCGGAGACGCTCTACGCCTGCCGGAGACGCTCTACGGCTGCCGGAGACGCTCTACGGCTGCCGGAGACGCTCTACGCCTGCCGGAGATGCTCTACGCCTGCCGGAGACGCTCTACGCCTGCCGGAGACGCTCTACGGCTGCCGGAGACGCTCTACGGCTGCCGGAGACGCTCTACGCCTGCCGGAGACGCTCTACGCCTGCCGGAGACGCTCTACGGCTGCCGGAGACGCTCTACGGCTGCCGTAGACGCTCAACACCTGCCGGAGACGCTCTACGCCTGCCGGAGACGCTCTACGGCTGCCGGAGACGCTCTACGCCTGCCGGAGACGCTCTACACCTGCCGGAGACGCTCTACGCCTGCCGGAGACGCTCTACGCCTGCCGGAGACGCTCTACACCTGCCGGAGACGCTCTACGCCTGCCGGAGACGTTCTACGCCTGCCGGAGACGCTCTACGGCTGCCGGAGACGCTCTACGCCTGCCGGAGACGTTCTACGCCTGCCAGAGACGCTCTACGGCTGCCGGAGACGCTCTACGCTTGCCGGAGACGCTCTACGCTTACCGGAGACGCTCTACGCTTACCGGAGACGCTCTACGCTTGCCGGAGACGCTCTACGCTTACCGGAGACGCTCTACGCTTACCGGAGACGCTCTACGCTTGCCGGAGACGCTCTACGCTTACCGGAGACGCTCTACGCTTGCCGGAGACGCTCTACGCCTGCCGGAGACGCTCTACGCCTGCCGGAGACGCTCTACGCCTGCCGGAGACGTTCTACGCCTGCCGGAGACGCTCTACGGCTGCCGGAGACGTTCTACGCCTACCGGAGACGCTCTACGCCTGCCGGAGACGCTCTACGCCTGCCGGAGACGTTCTACGCCTGCCGGAGACGTTCTACGCCTGCCGGAGACGCTCTACGCTTACCGGAGACGCTCTACGCCTGCCGGAGACGCTCTACGCTTACCGGAGACGCTCTACGCTTACCGGAGACGCTCTACGCTTGCCGGAGACGCTCTACGCTTACCGGAGACGGTCTACACCTGTCGGAGACGCTCTACGCTTACCGGAGACGCTCTACGCTTACCGGAGACGCTCTACGCTTACCGGAGACGCTCTACGCTTACCGGAGACGCTCTACGCTTACCGGAGACTCTCTACGGCTGCTGGAGACGCTCTACGCTTACCGGAGACGCTCTACACCTGTCGGAGACGCTCTACGCTTACCGGAGACGCTCTACGCTTGCCGGAGACGCTCTACGCTTGCCGGAGACGCTCTACGCCTGCCGGAGACGCTCTACGCTTGCCGGAGACGCTCTACGCTTGCCGGAGACGCTCTACACCTGCCGGAGACGCTCTACACCTGCCGGAGACGCTCTTCGGCTGCTGGAGACGCTCTACACCTGCCGGAGACGCTCTACGCCTGCCGGAGACGCTCTACGCTTACCGGAGACGCTCTACACCTGCCGGGGACGCTCTAAACCTGCCGGAGACGCTCTACGCCTGCCGGAGACGCTCTACACCTGCCGGAGACGCTCTACACCTGCCGGAGACGCTCTACACCTGCCGGAGACGCTCTACACCTGCCGGAGACGCTCTACGCCTGCCGGAGACGCTCTACACCTGCCGGAGACGCTCTACGCTTACCGGAGACGCTCTACGCCTGCCGGAGACGCTCTACGCCTGCCGGAGACGCTCTACGGCTGCCGGAGACGCTCTACGGCTGCCGGAGACGTTCTACGCCTGCCGGAGACGATCTACGCCTGCCGGAGACGCTCTACGCCTGCCGGAGACGCTCTACGCTTACCGGAGACGCTCTACGCCTGCCGGAGACGATCTACGCCTGCCGGAGACGCTCTACGGCTGCCGGAGACGCTCTACGGCTGCCGGAGACGCTCTACGGCTGCCGGAGACGCTCTACACCTGCCGGAGACGCTCTACGCCTGCCGGAGACGCTCTACGGCTGCCGGAGACGCTCTACGCCTGCCGGAGACGCTCTACGGCTGCCGGAGACGCTCTACGGCTGCCGGAGACGCTCTACGCCTGCCGGAGACGCTCTACACCTGCCGGAGACGCTCTACGGCTGCCGTAGACGCTCTACGCCTGCCGGAGACGCTCAACACCTGCCGGAGACGCTCTACGCCTGCCGGAGACGCTCTACGGCTGCCGGAGACGCTCTAAGCCTGCCGGAGACGCTCTACACCTGCCGGAGACGCTCTACGCCTGCCGGAGACGCTCTACGCCTGCCGGAGACGCTCTACACCTGCCGGAGACGCTCTACGCCTGCCGGAGACGTTCTACGCCTGCCGGAGACGCTCTACGGCTGCCGGAGACGCTCTACGCCTGCCGGAGACGTTCTACGCCTGCCGGAGACGCTCTACGGCTGCCTGAGACGCTCTACGCTTGCCGGAGACGTTCTACGCTTACCGGAGACGGTCTACGCTTACCGGAGACGCTCTACGCTTGCCGGAGACGCTCTACGCTTACCGGAGACGCTCTACGCTTACCGGAGACGCTCTACGCTTGCCGGAGACGCTCTACGCCTGCCGGAGACGCTCTACGCCTGCCGGAGACGCTCTACGCCTGCCGGAGACGTTCTACGCCTGCCGGAGACGCTCTACGGCTGCCGGAGACGTTCTACGCCTGCCGGAGACGCTCTACGCCTGCCGGAGACGCTCTACGCCTGCCGGAGACGTTCTACGCCTGCCGGAGACGTTCTACGCCTGCCGGAGACGCTCTACGCTTACCGGAGACGCTCTACGCCTGCCGGAGACGCTCTACGCTTACCGGAGACGCTCTACGCTTACCGGAGACGCTCTACGCTTGCCGGAGACGCTCTACGCTTACCGGAGACGCTCTACGGCTGCTGGAGACGCTCTACGCTTACCGGAGACGCTCTACACCTGTCGGAGACGCTCTACGCTTACCGGAGACGCTCTACGCTTACCGGAGACGCTCTACGCTTACCGGAGACGCTCTACGCTTACCGGAGACGCTCTACGGCTGCTGGAGACGCTCTACGCTTACCGGAGACGCTCTACACCTGTCGGAGACGCTCTACGCTTACCGGAGACGCTCTACGCTTGCCGGAGACGCTCTACGCTTGCCGGAGACGCTCTACGCCTGCCGGAGACGCTCTACGCTTGCCGGAGACGCTCTACGCTTGCCGGAGACGCTCTACACCTGCCGGAGACGCTCTACACCTGCCGGAGACGCTCTACGGCTGCAGGAGACGCTCTACGCCTGCCGGAGACGCTCTACGCCTGCCGGAGACGCTCTACGCTTACCGGAGACGCTCTACACCTGCCGGAGACGCTCTAAACCTGCCGGAGACGCTCTACGCCTGCCGGAGACGCTCTACGTCTGCCGGAGACGCTCTACGCTTGTCGGAGACGCTCTACGTCTGTCGGAGACGCTCTACGTCTGCCGGAGACGCTCTACGCTTGTCTGAGACGCTCTATGTCTGCCGGAGACGCTCTACGCTTACCGGAGACGCTCTACGCTTACCGGAGACGCTCTACGGCTGCTGGAGACGCTCTACGCTTACCGGAGACGCTCTACACCTGTCGGAGACGCTCTACGCTTACCGGAGACGCTCTACGCTTGCCGGAGACGCTCTACGCTTGCCGGAGACGCTCTACGCCTGCCGGAGACGCTCTACGCTTGCCGGAGACGCTCTACGCCTGCCGGAGACGCTCTACCCCTGCCGGAGACGCTCTACACCTGCCGGAGACGCTCTTCGGCTGCTGGAGACGCTCTACACCTGCCGGAGACGCTCTACGCCTGCCGGAGACGCTCTACGCTTACCGGAGACGCTCTACACCTGCCGGAGACGCTCTAAACCTGCCGGAGACGCTCTACGCCTGCCGGAGACGCTCTACGTCTGCCGGAGACGCTCTACGCTTGTCGGAGACGCTCTACGTCTGTCGGAGACGCTCTACGTCTGCCGGAGACGCTCTATGCTTGTCTGAGACGCTCTACGTCTGCCGGAGACGCTCTACGCTTGTCGGAGACGCTCTACGTATACAGAGTTTCTGGTAAATCCAGATATTTGCTCTCCAGTAGTAGAAGCAGCAACAGCAGTAGGAGCAGGAGCAACAACAGCATCAGCAAAAGTAGGAAGAGCAGCAGCAGCAGCAGCAGTAAGAGCAGCAGTAGCAACAGCAGCAGCAGCAGTAGGAACAGCAGCAGCAGTAGAGCAGCAGCAACAGCAGCAGCAGCAGTAGGAACAGCAGCAGCAGTAGAGCAGCAGCAACAGCAGCAGCAGCAGTAGGAACAGCAGCAGTAAGCAGCAGCAACAGCAGCAGCAGCAGCAGAAGTAGGAGCAGCAGCAGCAGTAAGAGTAGCAACAGTAAGAATAGCAGTAGCAGCAGCAGCAGGAGCAGTAAGAGCAGCAGCAGCAGCAGCAGTAGCAGCAGCAGCAGCAGCTGCAGCAGTAGCAGCAGCAGCAGCAGCAGCAACAACAACAGCAGCAGCAGCAATAGTACCAGTACCACCAAATAACTCTCTAGCAACAGTTGCCTCAACAGTACAGTCACAGTAGCAGTGAAGGAAGAGTGTTACAATACATCGTGGTGGAGCCAACATCTCAACAATCAGTTCTGGCGCTGCCCCAGTTCTCCAGGCGCGCGCCATTTAAGGCGCCAAACACGCAACTGCTTGCTTTAGGTAAAGTGGCGCTGCTGGGATCGCCACCCGTGCCGCACTTCCCCTCACAACAGGTTCCTGGATGGCTATATGAGTCTTGCACCACCCACGGAAAACCTGTTCCGTTATCCATCATATTCCCTTTTAATCAACAACAGCTCTGAATTTCGACACCCGTAGGCCGCCGAGTCCAAGAGAATGTTGCGAACTGGTATACAGTCTAATGGGGGGACGTAACGAGGTTGGGGAAGGTTGGGGAAGGTTGGGGGAAGGTTGGGGGAAGGTTGGGGAAGGTTGGGGAAGGTTGGAGAAGGTTGGGGAAGGCTGGGGAAGGTTGGGGAAGGTTGGGGAAGGTTGGGGAAGGTTGGGGGAAGGTTGGGGGAAGGTTGGGGAAGGTTGGGGAAGGTTGGAGAAGGTTGGGGAAGGCTGGGAAGGTTGGGGAAGGTTGGGGAAGGTTGGGGAAGGTTGGGAAAGGTTGGAGAAGGTTGGGGAAGGTTGGGGAAGGCTGGGGAAGGTTGGGGAAGGTTGGGGAAGGTTGGGGAAGGTTGGGGAAGGCTGGGGAAGGTTAGGGAGGTTGGGGAAGGTTGGAGAAGGTTGGGGAAAGCTGGAGAAAGGTTGGGAAGTTGGGGAAGGTTCGGGGAAGGGGGGGTTGGGGAAGGTTGGAGAAGGTTGGGGAAGGTTGGGGAAGGTTGGGGAAGGCTGTGGAAGGTTGGGGAAGGCTGGGGAAGGTTGGGGAAGGTTGGGAAAGGTTGGGGAAGGCTGGGGAAGGCTGGGGAAGGTTGGGGAAGGTTGGGGAAGGTTAGGGAAGGTTGGAGAAGGTTGGAGAAGGTTGGGGAAGGTTGGAGAAGGTTGGGGAAGGTTGGAGAAGGTTCGGGAAGGTTGGGGTAGGTTGGGGAAGGTTGGTGAAGGTTGGGGAAGGTTGGGGAAGGTTGGAGAAGGTTGGGGAAGGTTGGTGAAGGTTGGGGAAGGTTGGGGAAGGTTGGAGAAGGTTGGGGAAGGTTGGGGAAGGTTGGGGAAGGTTGGGGAAGGTTGGGGAAGGTTGGAGAAGGTTGAGGAAGGTTGGGGAAGGTTGGAGAAGGTTGGGGAAGGTTGGTGAAGGTTGGGGAAGGTTGGGGAAGGTTGGGGAAGGTTGGAGAAGGTTGGGGAAGGTTGGGGTAGGTTGGGGTAGGTTGAGGAAGGTGGGGAAGGTTGGGGAAGGTTGGAGAAGGTTGGGGAAGGTTGGGGAAGGTTGGGGAAGGTTGGAGAAGGTTGGGGAAGGTTTGGGAAGGTTGGGGAAGGTGGGGTAGGTTGAGGAAGGTTGGGGAAGGTTGGGGAAGGTTGGGGAAGGTTGGGGAAAGGTTGGGGCAGGTTGGTGAAGGTTGGGGAAGGTTGGGGAAGGTTGGGGAAGGTTGGAGAAGGTTGGGGAAGGTTTGGGAAGGTTGGCGAAGGTTGGGGAAGCTTGGGGAAGGTTGGGGAAGCTTGGGGAAGCTTGGGGAAGGTTGGGGAAGGTTGGAGAAGGTTGGAGAACATTGGGGAAGGTTGAGGAAGGTTGGGGAAGGTTGGGGAAGGTTGGAGAAGGTTGGAGAAGGTTGGGGAAGGTTGGGGAAGATTGGGGAAGAGAGGGGACGAGGAGGAGAGCGTGCGGGTAAGGGGGAATTCACTCCCCCATGAGTGCATTGTTAGTGTCTTGATACGGAGGTGAGTGAAGAGCTGCTGCTGCTGCTGCCAGTGGGATGTCGTGGCCCAGAGCGGCAGCTCCGAGCGGTGGTCTCGGTAACATAGATGTACCACTTTCACCGGTCTCCCTAAACCGAACACTGGTCGGCCTAGGCAGTTTAATGAGGTTGTCCGTTCTAGTGGATGGCCCGATAACGAGAGCTGAAGCTTTAAAATGACTCCCATCAAAGAAGTTGAATTGTTGTGGTGTGAAGGCGAGTAGTGGTGGTGGGGGGGGGGGGAGTGGGGGCGAGAGTGGGGGGCGAGAGTGGTGGGGGGTGAGAGGGGGTGGTGGGGGTGATGTTTGGCTGGCGTCCCACAAGGGGGTGCCAGGCTGTGCAACTTTCTTTTACCCCTCCTAATTCAACCCCAACCCCCCCCCCCCATCTTCCCCCACCTCCTCCCCCTACCATCACCAGCCCCTCCGTCCTCTAACTCCTGTCAAGCCAAACTCTTGTTCACCCCCCACCACCCTCACTCGCCCACCCCCACCACCCTCACCGCCCACCCCCACCACCCTCACCCGCCCACCCCCACCACCCACTCCCGCCCACCCCCACCACCCCACCCGCCCCCACCACCCACCCACTCCCGCCCACCCCCACCTCCCTCACCCGCCCACCCCCACCACCCTCACCCCCCCACCCCAACCACCCACTCCCGCCCACCACCCACTACCTGAGTTACAGAAAACAAAGAGGAGTAGTATCAAGCTGGAGGAATGCAACAAGTCGGGGTCCCGCGAGGCTCAGTCCTGGCACCGCTGCTGTTCCTAAATGTACGTGAGGGACCTGCCCGAGGGAGTCAGCTCGTACGTGTCAATGTTTTCAGATGACGCGAAGCCGATGACTGTAAAAACAGAGGAGAACTGCAGGGAGTTACAGCAGAGCCGTGACAAACTCCAGGAGCGGCGAGGCTAGATGGTTGCTGGATTCAATCCCAATATGGGAAGATGGGAAAGAGAGAGAGACAGGAGACCGGAAGGCAGCTGCTGGCTACATTATAAGGGTGTCCTCCCCTCCCATGTCCTCCCCTCTCATGTCCTCCCCACCCCAGGTCCTCCCTTCCCATGTCCTCCCCTCCCATGTCCTCCCTTCCCCTCCCATGTCCTCCCCTCCCCATGTCCTCCCTCTCTCTCCCATGTCCTCCCTTCCCCTCCCATGTCCTCCCCCCCAGGTCCTCCCCTCCCATCTCCTCCCCTCCCATGTCCTCCCCCCCAGGTCCTCCCCTCCCATGTCCTCCCCTCCCATGTCCTCCCCTCCATGTCCTCCCCTCCATGTCCTCCCCCCAGGTCCTCCCCTCCCATGTCCTCCCCTCCCATGTCCTCCCTTCCCCTCCCATGTCCTCCCCTCCCACCAATTAATTATTCCCAACACAAAGCAAAAAAATCAACAGCCTGATTAAAAAAGAATAAGAAAAATTTATAACGAAAAATAGAATAATAAACGAAGTATAAACAAGAACAAAGAAATTAAGAAGAGGAGGAGGAAGAGGAGGAGGAGGAGGAAGATGAGGAGAAGTGTAAGGAGGAGGAGGAGAAGAACGCTCCTGGTGTGGGTGTATGGGTGTCCACTATACTCCTGGTGTGGGTGTATGGGTGTCCACTATACTCCTGGTGTGGGTGTATGGGTGTCCACTATACACCTGGTGTGGGTGTATGGGTGTCCACTATACTCCTGGTGTGGGTGTATGGGTGTCCACTATACTCCTGGTGTGGGTGTATGGGTGTCCACTATACACCTGGTGTGGGTGTATGGGTGTCCACTATACACCTGGTGTGGGTGTATGGGTGTCCACTATACACCTGGTGTGGGTGTATGGGTGTCCACTATACACCTGGTGTGGGTGTATGGGTGTCCACTATACACCTGGTGTGGGTGTATGGGTGTCCACTATACTCCTGGTGTGGGTGTATGGGTGTCCACTATACTCCTGGTGTGGGTGTATGGGTGTCCACTATACTCCTGGTGTGGGTGTATGGGTGTCCACTATACTCCTGGTGTGCGTGTATGGGTGTCCACTATACTCCTGGTGTGGGTGTATGGGTGTCCACTATACTCCTGATACTATACTCCTGGGTGTATGGGTGTCCACTATACACCTGGTGTGGGTGTATGGGTGTCCACTATACTCCTGGTGTGGGTGTATGGGTGTCCACTATACCCCTGGTGTGGGTGTATGGGTGTCCACTATACTCCTGGTGTGGGTGTATGGGTGTCCACTATACTCCTGGTGTGGGTGTATGGGTGTCCACTATACACCTGGTGTGGGTGTATGGGTGTACGAGATAAATGTATTTGTTAAGCTGCGCCTTCTGCGCTGCCAACACCACCTACACCCAACCTATATCCACCACCTACACCCACCTATAACCACCACCAACACCACCTACACCCACCAGGGGACGGTCGGCCGAGCGGACAGCACGCGGGACTTGTGATCCTGTGGTCCTGGGTTCGATCCCAGGCGCCGGCGAGAAACAAGGGCAGAGTTCTTTCACCCTATGCCCCTGTTACCTAGCAGTAAAATAGGTACCTGGGTGTTAGTCAGCTGTCACGGGCTGCTTCCTGGGGGTGGAGGCCTGGTCGAGGACCGGGCCGCGGGGACACTAAAAGCCCGAAATCATCTCAAGATAACCTCAAGATAACCTATAACCACCACCAACACCACCTACACCCACCTATAACCATCACCAACACCACCTACACTACCAACGTCATCTACGCCACCAATTCCAGCTGCACCATCAACACCACCTATACACCAGCGCCATCTACCCCTCCCACCTGTGTTATCTACGTCACCTACACTTACACTCCACCTATCTACGCCACTTCTAATCCTTCAACTACTGATATATATATTTTTATCACTGCCACCTGCCACTGACCTGCCACTGTGCCACCTGCCACTCTGCCACCTGCCACTTATCACTGTGCCACCTGCCACTGTGCCACCACTGTGCCACCTGCCACTCTGCCACCTGCCACTGTACCACTGTGCCACCTGCCACTCTGCCACCTGCCACTGTGCCACCTGCCACTCTGCCACCTGCCACTGTGCCACCTGCCACTCTGCCACCTGCCACTGTACCACTGTGCCACCTGCCACTCTGCCACCTGCCAACACAATGTTATGACAGCGTGCGGGCTGTCCGCCTTGCTGACACAATGTTATGATAGCGTGCGGGCTGTCCGCCTTGCTGACACAATGTTATGATAGCGTGCGGGCTGTCCGCCTTGCTGACACAATGTTATGATAGCGTGCGGGCTGTCCGCCTTGCTGACACAATGTTATGATAGCGTGCGGGCTGTCCGCCTTGCTGACACAATGTTATGATAGCGTGCGGGCTGTCCGCCTTGCTGACACAATGTTATGATAGCGTGCGGGCTGTCCGCCTTGCTGACACAATGTTATGATAGCGTGCGGGCTGTCCGCCTTGCTGACACAATGTGATAGCTGACACAATGTTATGATAGCGTGCGGGCTGTCCGCCTTGCTGACACAATGTTATGATAGCGTGCGGGCTGTCCGCCTTGCTGACACAATGTTATGATAGCGTGTGGGCTGTCCGCCTTGCTGACACAATGTTATGATAGCGTGCGGGCTGTCCGCCTTGCTGACACAATGTTATGATAGCGTGCGGGCTGTCCGCCTTGCTGACACAATGTTATGATAGCGTGCGGGCTGTCCGCCTTGCTGACACAATGTTATGATAGCGTGCGGGCTGTCCGCCTTGCTGACACAATGTTATGATAGCGTGCGGGCTGTCCGCCTTGCTGACACGATGTTATGATAGCGTGCGGGCTGTCCGCCTTGCTGACACAATGTTATGATAGCGTGCGGGCTGTCCGCCTTGCTGACACAATGTTATGATAGCGTGCGGGCTGTCCGCCTTGCTGACACAATGTTATGATAGCGTGCGGGCTGTCCGCCTTGCTGACACGATGTTATGATAGCGTGCGGGCTGTCCGCCTTGCTGACACAATGTTATGATAGCGTGCGGGCTGTCCGCCTTGCTGACACAATGTTATGATAGCGTGCGGGCTGTCCGCCTTGCTGACACGATGTTATGATAGCGTGCGGGCTGTCCGCCTTGCTGACACAATGTTATGATAGCGTGCGGGCTGTCCGCCTTGCTGACACAATGTTATGATAGCGTGCGGGCTGTCCGCCTTGCTGACACAATGTTATGATAGCGTGCGGGCTGTCCGCCTTGCTGACACAATGTTATGATAGCGTGCGGGCTGTCCGCCTTGCTGACACAATGTTATGATAGCGTGCGGGCTTGTCCGCCTTGCTGACACAATGTGATGATAGCGTGTGGGCAGGCGGGCTGTCCGCCTTGCTGACACAATGTGTGTGTGTAAGCTTGCTCTCCCGCATCAGATACTGCGAGTATGTGTACTCACCTAATTGTGCTTGCAGGGGGATGAGCTTTGGCTCTTTGGTCCCGCCTCTCAACCGTCAATCAACTGGTGTACAGATTCCTGAGTCTACTGGGCTCTATGATATCTACAATTGAAACTGTGTATGGAGTCAGCCTCCACCACATCACTGCCTAATGCATTCCATTTATTAACTACTCTGACACTGAAAAAATTCTTTCTAATGTCTTTATGGCTCCTCTGGATACTCAGTTTCCACTTGTGTCCCCTTGTTCGTGTTCCACCCGTGCTAAAGAGTTCGTCTTTGTTCACCCTGTTAATGTGTGTGTGTGTGTGTGTGTGTGTGTGTGTGTGTGTGTGTGTGTGTGGTGTGTGTGTGTGTGTGTGTGTGTGTGGTGTGTGTGTGTGTTTGGAGTGTTTTAACAGGTGTGTAAATCTATAGATGAATATTGTGTAGTATTGACATCCGCACACAACTCAGGTGTTTGGGGAACTGTTTTAATTTTCTGTTGATTTTTTTATTTATTTAATTTTTCTACGGGGGGGGGGGGGGGTTAATTGGTGTGGCCAGTTTTTCATCTTGGAATTATATATTGTGGGGCTTTGTTTCTACTGAGTAGACCGAAGCTCTTGGGCCCCAGTTGTGGGCGCGGGGCTTCTCGTCTTGGTGTCATCTTCACAACATTGTCTTTTTGGATAACATTTTTAATAGTGTTCAACCCCCTGGTGGGAACGTTCAGATGTTCAGTGGTTGTGTAGTTGAGGACCTCGTGGAGCCCCTTGGCGGGGTGTGGCCGC